ATCCGTTTATATTCATTCAAATGATTTCTACCTGTAATCAGAATTGTGATATACATTATCTTGACGATTAACAAAACTAAGCACGCTAGTCTAATTTTTAGATGATTATCCATATGATATTTATTTGAACGAATACAACTGCTGAACATATTTCGACCAATTTGGGCACATTTCACTAGTACATTTTACATTTTATTCAATATTAAGTTTAATGTTTATGAAATGTGAAAATGAATAAAACAGTTATTCATTATTCAATGTCAATAAAATTGTATGCTGGAAGTTATATACTTTATGATTTGCTTTATTTGACGATCATAAAACTAATAATTTTAGCTTAACAAAAACATCTAATCTCTGACCCATCTTTCTTCCCCATCTTAGTAATTTCATCATGAAAATATGGTATATCGATCCTCGTCTCATAAATCATGGTATCTTTAAGGTGGACATCTGGAAGGTGTATTTATTTTCCTATATGATGTTACAGAGTATATTTTTTTACAGTAGTTACTAGGTTGTGGGAATGATTAGACTATATTTATAACCCCAACAGATGCAAGTAGTACAGATGTATATATGCACAGACGCACATACCAAAGATAAATAATTAATTGCTTATATCTCCTACCAAATTAGAAACATACATATATATGTATATTGTAGGCTTAGCAACTAATACCCAAGATAGCAGTAACACACATTTCTTCCTAACTCACCCAGTGAATAATAGTTATTATTATTATTACTATCATTATTATTACTGTTCTTATAGGGTCATTTAACCACTGACCCTTTCGTTTAGCCGCAATCATGAAGTTTCAGTGATTCATTAAACAGTTCGCCAGATGACTATTTGTGCCTACACTAACATATAAACATATAAGTAAGGTGTTAGTTCAAGTCAATAAACAGGTGGTAGACAACTTTTTTTATACCTAAAATACACGATTTTCATCAAAAAAATTCATTCCTAGTTGTGGTATTTTAATAATTATAACTTGACATTTATTCATTTTCACCAATGTTAATTATAAAGTTGCTTGTTTTTGTAATTATAGACTTGGTGGAATTTAATCACTGAGGCATAATACAATGGTAATATTGTTCTTTATATTACCTTAAATTATCATAATGAGTAAAGTTTAGTGATTCTAAGAGTTAATTAATATTGAGGAATATGTGAGATAAAAATAATTATTTTGTATCGTAAAACTTATCTTAGTATATTTTACTATTTAATACTTTTCTTATGATAATAACAGTTTCAAGTTAGTCTTGAAAAAGACCCGAGGTTTACTGGAGAACTGGTTGAATTCAGGATAACATTGGATACTAGCAAACATTAGACAGTTATTTCGTTCTAGAATGTGATTTGTTAGCAGAGCTCAATCACGACCACAACACATATCGAATTCAGGATATTCAAGTTTCGTGATAAGCTCCTAACCTTCAGACCACTGAGTCAGCACCCAATGGGTTGCATTTCTATTCAAGTTATTAAGTAACCGTCAACTAATGGTATATGTGAATAACTGATACACACCCCACATGCTCAAACTCCATGATTATGGCTTCTTACTAGAACTCCGGGAATTATGACAATCACTACAAACCAGAAACAACTGAATAGCTGCTTTTTTTCCAGTGTGAAACTTCTCAGTCTATTACTTCAATTGTAAACCTTAATGATCTGCATAAGCTCCTTACACAAAGAATAAACAACTGTTTCATATTATTCTGAAACTCTTAGATAATGAGCAGAACTGAAGATCGATATCAGGAACTTGAGATCCAGAAATGTACACATCACCATTAAACCATAGAGCCAGAATTTGATGGTTCATATTTCTAACTTCAATCAGTTTTGGCACAATCATTACTCGATGCCATCACTGGGTAAATGCCTTTCATTCGATCGATCACAACTTTGGGGATTCCTCTAGAAGCTATAAATATTGTTACAATAACTTGCATTGTTAAGTTAAGGGGTTTTATAGAGATTACTCAATCTGAAGTTCGTTTATATCATAGAATGACATCTACATTTACATGTTATATTCTGTTTTAATTGACACTGTTCTTTTGAAATGTGACCAATTTATGTGCATCCTTTTCCCAAATAATTAGATTTAAGTTCATAGGCAGGTGATGATAATTGACCAAGTAAATGAGATTAGATTTTTATGTTGTGTTTTAGTGAAAAACACAATTTTCTTTTACATTGTTTATAACTAGTCACGTTGAATTAGATACATTTAACATGTTATAATGTTTCATCATTGTTTCTTGTGGATGATGAGATACTGATATATAAGTAGCAATAAATTTTGATAATGATTTGTCTCTAAACCTAATGATTACCATAAAATGGATTTCTAGTAGCCTATACATGTTTAATTTATACTATCCAGGTTATCAACTCCCTGACTGAAGGGGAAAAAATAGAAGTCATCAGTTGAATTATTGGATTAAATATTTTTCTTACTAGAATGTAGGAACGTAACACAAATTCATGATCCTTGTCTGAGAAATAATTCAGTATAATCAATTGAGAAGTTATCATACAAATTCTGATATTCTCTCTCTTTATATATTAATATTATCATACTGTTTTATGTGTACATGCATATTATATCACTTGGTGTCTCGTTTACTCCTAACTTATGTACTCGGTGACTAATTATAAAACATTATAAACTTTCAAAAAAATCACCTCATGACAGCCAAACTGTAGAAACTCTTCAAAATACCTTTCAAATTTCGAACTAGTCAGACGCAAACTTCTTCATCAGAGAAATATGTAATTTTTAGTGACTGTAATCTTCTAGTAAGATAATGATCAACGTTTCTTTATATCATCTGTATTGTTTGTACCATCAATTATAATTCATGCTATGCATCTCTGATAATCAAGTTACTTTAACCTTGTTATATGAACTAGAATGAATAGATTCTACAAAAGAGATATTTGTTAATATCATGACTGGTCCTTGTCATATTTAAATACTGAATGTTTCATGTTAGAAATTAACATTAATATTAGTGAGTATATATGTGAACATGTTAATGCCTAGTAAACAAATGGAAAATTATAAAAGTTGGAAAACAGATAGTTCATGATAATTTTTTCATACTGATTAATACCATACTTTAAAAAATTCTAATCTAATATCATGAGTATTATAGAAATAATAAGTTCAGCATTTTAGATCCATACATGCATCCGCTGAGTTAAATTACTAAACACACATACTACTATTGAGACATTGGACAATGACATAGACATGCAAATTTATACCAGCTATCATTTTGATCAACAACAAAAAAATGCTGACTTAACTTAGATTTTATCGAACCCACACAAGCATACAATTTTTCTACGTAATTATTTATGTATTACTTCATGTTAACTGGGTGAAAATATTCTATAATGCTAAGTGTTAATGTATTTCAACGAATCTATAAGCTTAGCGAACATTTACATTACTTAATCACCCTTAAACTGCTAATTCACTTTTTGTTGCAAATCTGGAATTTCAAGATCAATTAAAAGGCAGAGAATTTATATCTTATGTGGAAAACAAATTCTAAGGGAAAAACAAGGAAGTAAGCATTGGGTTGTGGAAACAGTTAGATTCCAATAAAATCACGGACAGGTCTAAATTATACAGCGATTCAATACCTGAAAGCAATGGACTCCTGCAAACTGACTGGATTACATCATTGGATACCGGCTCAGTGGTCTAGAGTCTAAGTGTTCAAACACGAAACTGATGGTCCTGGGTTTGATTTCCACTTGCGGGATCGTGGATGCGTACTGTTGAGGAGTCCCATATTAATGCTTCCAGATTTACAATAGTTGTCTAACTTAGATCGATTTGTAATTACAGTGATATAAATTAGAATAAACGAGCGTTCCGGATTTCACTGATAGCTACTTTCTAGCTTTACCAAATTTCATTTGGTTGTTTGCACTTTTAAGCATACTAATACCAACAGTTTCATCACTTTAAAAACAGATCGAAATGTATTTGTTTTATATTTTATAAACAATGTTGAAAAAAAAACATGTTTAAGCAAGTCGTATCCTACTCTGCACATGGTTTAAATGCGAAAAAAAACATCTGTGTAAAATATTAATACTGGTTGGATAAGAATAATTCCTAGCTTATTAAATCAAGACCTAGGTATGACCATATTTTTAAGGTTCACTAATTAGTCTTTTAATTCTTATAAAACCAACAGTGAAACCAGAACAACTCAACGACTTTGAATAAATGCGCTTTTATCCAAACATAAACGGACAATTTGACTATTACACAACATTCTCGTTTTTAAAAATGCTGCTGAAATATGGACTAGCACTTACTGAATTCTATGACTTTCAGTAAGATCTGTAACCATATTGCTGGATGGAACTTGTTATCATTCTACAGTCAGACTGACTGAATCTAAACACTATCGTATCACATTTTAATGAGAACCAAACAAAATATTGAGCGTTACCGTTCAGCAGTATATACCTTACGGCTTTAGTCTTCGTAAATTTTCATTAGTTAATTACTTTTCGTTTTCTATTGTCTTACTTCTATTTAGAGAATGTGCTCTTTTCGCTTTATCATAGTCGTTTTTCATGATTTATATATTCTATGATGTAGACTGATAATGTGATCACGATTACTGAGATATAAAATGATGATAATAATGTATATGATGATAATCACGTAGTCTATAGAGAATTCAGTGGTGTCGACTTGAACTGACCAGTTGTATGCAAGCACTATATCATTGAATACTACCACTATAAAACTTAGTTCATTAGGTTTTCTGTAGTTTGCTTTTAAGTGTATAACCGTGTTCTTTTTTGTTTACACTCTAGGACTAATAATCTAAATTTCTAAACAAAATGACTACTTCTCATAACGACAGAAAACTTCAGGACAGATGTATATTTTCGTAATGACATTTCTGATTATATAATAAAACCAAATAAGAATTTATAATCATTCATAATGTATCACTTTAAATATTTAATTCAATCAAAATAACTTATGTACAATAATGTATGTATTTTTATGTACAGTTAATTGAGTTTAGTGTTCAACAGTGGTTTTGGTTGTTCACTTTTTTTTTATTTACAAGGCGCTGAAATTGTAGTATTTAAAAAAGTTTTCTTTTTATCATATCCTTTTACCCCAGTTGATCAATATCATCATCTGTCTGATATGGTGTACTACCATTGGAATTTAAATATTCATAGGATTTTGATAAGAAATTATCATCAGTTATGTAATCATTATTTAGTTGAGGCCTATTATGAAAAAGCAAATTCTCTTCTGATATTGATTGTGATGGATTATTCTGACTAGATAATAATTTAAAAATGAACGCTGGAAGTAAGGAGGATGATGACAATGAGGAAGAATGGAGATTACCTGTAGGATGAAGAAAAGAAGAAAATAGTGAATTGATGAAAAAAATATTATTTTTCAAAAGGAATCAGGTTTAAATGTACTCTTTATCTTGTCCAAAGCTCTATCATTTAATATTTTCAACATCTGTTATAAAAGAATTATATTCAGTACCGACATTTTTTTTGTAACAATGTCTTAGTATCGAGATATTCTGGATATTTTTTAACATCGTACAATACTGAACATCTTTGTTTTAGTAAATGAATTCAACTCATACATTGTTATTGTCAGTTTTGAGAACGGGACAAGTATAAACAGTTGAATTTATGAGCCGATCTAAGCTAGACCACCACTGAAAACCTTATAGCACTGGACGGCCATTTCGTCATAGTATAGGACTCCTCAGCAATGCACATCCACGATCCCTCACGCAGGATTCGAGTCCGGGACCTTCGGTTTTGGGCGCGGACACTTAACCTCTAGATCAGTGAGCTCGCATTCAACGGTGTTAATGTATAACTTCAATCGATTCATGATCTTGCGCAACTCTTTGTCGCGGATGTGAACTGCTGAGAAGTATCATACTGAGACGAAACGGCCATCCAGCGCTTCCAGGTTTTCAATGATGGTCTAGCTTAGATCGACTCATAAATTCAACTGGTGAAATTACTACAATCTCCACAAATCCCCATTCTGATAACGAGACAAGTATTGTACAATAAGAGTGAAATACTTCTGAATTGTGTTAATTTAACTAATTAGATCAAGCTTGAAATATACTTTTTAAATGCGAATCTGACTGAATCTGTTGAATGTAGTCGTTATTATTATTATTATTATTACTTCTACTACAATATCATTTTGAGAATTTTACCATATGTTTAAATGAGGTATTTGTTTATTATCTGATAGTAGCACGCATGCATATTATATACACACATGAACATTTATTTTTATACATAGAAAATTTGGAATCATACCAAGTGATGTGTGAACAGAACATGTGTTATTCATTTACATAAATAATTCTATTGACTTAACAAAACATTACCAGTATGACCTGATAGTTACTAACACTATTCAGATGTTTATTTCTAAGATGAACATGTCTCAAGTTTTAAGTAGACAACTTGAAAACATCATCTACAAGTCGATTGAGAAATAAATATGGTCTTCCTTTTTGCAATAGATCCAAGGAATAGTATCTAGATTAAACATAGAAGTATTTTCAGCTGGATGTTATTAGCAATTATTATCTGAGTAACTTCAGTATTTCGGCCTTTATTTTATTAGAAAATTAGCATAGATAAGCTAAAAACATGGCTAAAACTACAGGGCATGATAAATTCTAATAGCAACTTAGCAAAAGTAATAAATAGTAGATATCTTAATTCAATATTTGAGACTTAATATTATATTATTATGTTGTATCATATTTAAGATGAATAAATAGAATTAGCGTATTTATATACAGTTGAACTATACCAACAATTTTACAAGACCTGTAAATATCTTCAAACTACAATAACCCTATACCCATGGTTGAAGGTACACTGACTATTAAAGAGAAAATATACTTTATGTCGCATTTTATTACTCTTCTCAATCAATCGTTTGGAGAATTAAATGAATTATAAATAATGTGGTGAAACTTTAACAAACTGATCATAATGATCAGTATTGGGTTGTGGAGACTGTTGAGTTTTTGGTAGAGACCATGAATTGACCTAATGATATTGACTTCTGTTTTTTTCCATTCTCATATTTTAGTAACTGAATAGTTAAATTCATGAGTCAATTAAAGCTAAACCACCACTGAAAAACTTAAAGCACTGGACGACCGTTTCGTCCGAGTATGGGACTCCTCGGCAGTGAGCATCCACGGTCCTGCATGCCGTCTCAGTGATCTGGAGGTTTAGCGTCCGCGTATTATTGAAGATCCCGAGTTCGGGTCCCGCGCACAAGGTCATGAGTACGAACTGCTAAGGAGTCTCGCACTAGAACGAAACGACGCCCAGTGCTCTCAGGTTTTCAAAGGTGTTCTAAAATTGATCGATTCATGATCTCAATCAAATGATCATAATAGCATAAACAATACAAAACAAAACTTACTGTTTTCAATTGAAGTTTCTACATTGATAATATTTAATCGTCGAAGTACTGCTTGTTCTAAATAGTTTATATGCTTTATTGCTTCTTGAATAATTTTCACCTAATAGAAAAATTAATGGGGTAAAAAGATTTATGTATGTATACACAAACTTCCATTTATATAACAGAGTACATGATAAGTTTCCACAAATGAGTAGTCGGCAGGATAAGTAAATTTACATTGTTTATTAAAATAATAAGCAAAACGAAATCTAACAATGATCAATCTGCCTCATTAAACCAGTAGAACGGCTCATTGGATTTGATAAGAAATATCAGAATAACTTAACTTATATCTATGTAAACAATGTAAATAGTCATTGGTAAAACTGTCAATTCTGTCACTTGAATTAAAGGAAAACGCACGTACATGTAGGACGACAAACTGATAATGAAAAAACGTGATCTTATTTAAAAATTTGCCAATATCAAAGAGATTAGTTTTAAGAACGTGATTAATTTGATAATTTTATGATCGAATTTCATATACATGATTCCTTTTATTATCGCAAAGAGAGCAGAAACAAAGATTGGTGCAGAATAATGTGAATTCATTTTATTTCATTAGGTTCTCATTAGCTGCTTATTATTAGATATCGACATGTTTATAGGTATGTCTTTGTTTCTGTTATCTTTATACTTGAAGTTAACTGACTATAGTAGTAGTCATAAATTACTATTACAAACAATAAACATTTTATGAAAAGTGGAAGATTATTCAGGCTAAAAAGTGAATTGTTTTAGAGTTATAATCTGAGGATTAAGATTCTTTTTAGGCAATCTTAGGGAAAACTTGTGTGCTATGAGGATCTCTTTTGCTCTTGCTTAGAGAATTCTCAGTTTTAGTCTTGCATCAAAAGACTTCTAGAATCTTATTATAAACACAATATAATATGATCTACAATAATGAACAACCAGTTGTATATATGTGAGCTCTTGAGTGCAGATACATCCAGTACAAAAAAGTACAGAACACTCCAATTTTAGCTACGATCCAAGTGTACTAAAATTTATAAATAAAGCAGTATCTAGTCAAACCACACAGAGTGCACATATTCTAATAAAGATTGGTCAGTTACAGTCCTGGAAATTCAATCCAGACTGCAAAAAAAGGTATGGCAAAGTTGTAGAGTTCTGGTGCTTCTAAAAAAATAACTCGATCTACAACATCAATACAGTGTATACATGATTGTAAGGTTTAATAACTTACTTCATCCAAATTTTCACAATTTGCAACAGTTGGTAGAATTTCCTTCAATCGTTCACATTCAATTTGATGTGGTTTTAAAGAATTATTATCATTTAATCTTTTTAAGTATGTTCTTTTTCGGATATTTTTATTCAATCCACTGAGTGGCTTGAATGTAGATTGACATCTTCGTTTTGTTAAAAGTTTTCGCTGAATCGGTGATAGATTTCCGATACAATTTCGCGACATAATGTCTTTTAAGTAAAGCAAAAATGTGAAAATAATGAAATAAAAATGTATAACAATATGGTTTTAAATAGAAAAGGTGTATGCCTCAAGTTAAATATTCGTGATTTTGATTGGACAAAATAAGGGAGACAGAAATATAATTAGACCAATCGGAATAATCTGCGTTCTTTCAAGTTACATTTACAATTCATTATTTCATTAAAATGACCATGTACATAGTCATTTTTTCTAACAAAGGGAAAAAACGACTACTAAAAAGGGCAGCATTTAACTCAGAGGGTGTGTTTGAAAAAAAGAATATTTTCTGGATTCATTGGAACCAACCATTTTATTTTATCAGTATAGGGATTTTATTGGATTTTATCTGATGAATATTGAGATATCTTGTTGCTTCCTGATTTCTGGAATAGTAAACAGTTCATATGCTTGTGAATGAGATTGATGAATTAAAAAAATAACACGCTAATGAACCACAGGCTGAGATAGAAAAAAACAATTAGGGGGGAATTACTCAGCACTTAAGATATCACAGTAGTCAAAACATATCGAAGTTGTGATGTTGATGAATTGTGTTTGCAAGTGATTTTCACCACGAATTAACACTAACTAGAAAACCACTGGAAACCAGAGAGCACTTGGCAATTGTCAGGTTAAAACACAATTATATGAACGAAGAATATTCTTTTCAATAATTTTTCATCAGGCTCAAATTAATAATCCATAAATTGGCCAGATTTAAGGCAAAGTACATCATTTAAAACTGCAATATGTGACTCAAGAATTGTTGTTTGTCATATAAAATCAATTGAAATCGTTAATGATGGGGTTGACTAATATGAAGTGTTAACTTACCAGGTTTCATATCAGGACTTCTGTACAAAGATCACCCAAAACTGTTTACTAATTAAAAACTCTGATCCTCAAGTCTCACGACATGATTATTGTACTGATTAACATCATGATGTATTGTAAAAAACTATTTCAGAACATAAAATGGTTAACAGAACTAATTATTTACCTATAGTGGATTCAGAATGGGAAACATGATTGTAATGTTTGTACAGTTAAGACATATATAATCCGGGGATTTAAATAGGCTACCTTAAAATACATCACCAAGAATTATACACGCGAATATCAATAGTAATAAAATCATTCTTAAAAACATTTATTCGGGGCTATAATAATAAACCGTGAAATAAAGCTAGCTGAGAATATAAGCAAATATAGAATGCTCGTGAATTAATGCAATATCGAGGCAATACTCACAGTGTGCACAGATGCCAATAAGAGGTTGATCAATTGCAGTCCTAAGCATCAATGAGAACATTCAAGTTAGCAATGCCAAGTGAATCTAGCTGAGGATAGCTTCCATTTTTTATTCGGTAATATCGAAAGTCTTAGACCAAACAAAGATTAGTTAAGGCTGATTAAAAAGAGATGTATGGAAGTAATTATGTGATAAAATAATCTCTTAGATTGGAACATAATACGTTGCAGTTGTAAAGTAAGATAAAGTCTTCAAGCTAAATGAGGGAAAATGGTCTGATGAAATAAAAAAGTGTAGAGTTTGAAAAAGAAACAGTGAGAGGAGTGATTGATCAAACATTTTATTCATGTAAGGCTATTTTACAAATTTCCAATGGCTTATTTATGCAAAGGAGACATTCACATTATCCTTCAGATTTAAGAATTATCCATAAGACGCTTTTAAAACTAAGTAACATTGCACGCTTGTTTATTCTCAGTTTGAGACTATGTGGCACTTAAGGTACACAATGAAGTGGACGCATAAAATTCAGATTATGAACAGAGCGTGAATAGGTCATTTACTCCATTCAACTAGCCACATTTTCTAAATGTAGTGGTAGTACAACTTGACTGTTATCTGTCGTCAGTCGTGAGTAAATAACTCTTTTAATGGTTGACTTCACATGTCAAGTTATAGTTTGTTTATTTCGAGAAAAAAAAGATTTATTAACATCTTTTTACATCAATATCTTTTAGTTTCAATAATTCGCTCCCTTCATATAGTTACATTCAAAATAATTAAGAGAATCTTATTAAAATAATCTACTTTACAAGTGACTAACATTGAAATCGATTTTTAATGAAGTTAGTTCGTAACAATGAAATCTGGGTCTCAGATTTCGTCCTATTTGAAACTCATCCGCTGAATTCACATGCATCCTAGTATTGGAATTCATACTAAAACTCAGAACCAGTACCTTTCCTTTCAAAAATCTAATAGATAATCTATTAAATTAATGAGCCTAAATGGGCGCTGGCTTATGCGACGGGTATGTAATGATCAACTAAATTATTTAATAACAACAACAACTAGAAAACATCTAAAATCGATTCCCTAAAGTTTGAGTTTTAAGCCATGGTTCTGGCAGAGTTAACTAAGTTGACATCGATGCAGTTACTCACTGGTAAACATTAACTAACAGTTGCATTCACCAAAAGTGAAAACCTGGAAGCACTGGACGACCGTTTCGTCCTATTTTGGGCCTCCTCAGCAGTGCGTATCAACGATCCCGCTCGCGAGATTCAAACCCAGGGCGCGCGAGACTAGTGACTAGCTTCGTGAGAGAATTGTCGGGGTCCTAGCGAGAAGCTATAACCAGTGGAGCTAATCCGTTTCGGGTAGACAGGTATCTACATCAGTACAATGGAAGATGATCGCGCAATTTCGTGGATTGATTGAGGTTAGAAATTAACACTGTTGGATGCCGGCCGATTCAGTGATCTAGAGGTTAAGCGTTCGTGCACAAAACTGAAGGCCCTTGGTTTGAATCTCACGAGCGGGACGGTGGATGAGCACTGCTAGGGAGTCCCACAATAGCCCGAAACGGTCGTCCACTGCTTTCACTTTTTCAATGGTGGTCTAACATCAATCGGTTCATGATCTCAATCGAAAACTTAATAATCTCCTCAGCCCTCTACTGATAGAAACATATTTACCTTAAAACAGAAAACACCATATATAATTTGAATGTGCAGATTACTGATGATTCTTTAGCATCAACTGACTATGAATTCATAATTTCCAATGCTGTTAGTTAATAATGAAGATGAACTTTAAATCTGACAGCTTTTATTATGTATTGTCATATGTTTTGTAAGAAACTTTAAACCCTGGTTAAATTTCTCTTCTTATATGACTTATTCATGTAGGTAACATGAACAGGTGTCCTGTTTCTAAATGATAGAAATAGGCTTTAAAAAAATTAAGATCATAAGATGTATATCACAATTGTCCCATGTTAATTTACTTCTAATTTCTATTATCCTCATTTATTGTTCATTTAAACAACAAAACTTGTCGTTATGATCATCATGTTTCTGTTTATCATCTCTTTATATTCATCCGAATTAAATGTAATTATTATTATTAGTTTCATTATTATGGAACTTGGTAACTAAAGCGATTCATATCCAGTTAGGCATAATGAAATTATTGAGCGGGTAAATAATTTAACAATGAGAAGAAGGCTTGTCAAATATGGTGATTGCACATGATTAATACTAATAAATAACTTGAGTGAAAAACATGTTCACTAATTTAACTGTGAGTTAATTCACATACATTTATAATAGCAGGTTTACATGTTCAACATTTTCCCGACTAGAACATCATCATCATCATCATCATCGTTATAATCATGAATGGATTTAGTTTCAGTAGTTAAGAGGATATGGTTATTTCGATTTCATATTTTTTTTTAGAAAGACTGACATTATTTCTAGATTGAATTTCATTAAATATCACTAAGACTGATTAAATTTACACAATGTTAGTGAGGAGATTAGTAGACTAAATGTCTGTGTATAATAAGTTGAATCATGCATAAAAGAATCAGTGATAATTTTCAAATGGGATGAGTGTTAAAAATTATTTACTAAGTAAATCAATTGGGACGATAATTTATACCGCGGGATTTCTGGAACATTTGTTGTAATACAATGTAAATCACAAAAAGTATTGGTAATCGCCGATAACTTAAACATTTAAAGTGATGTCAATGATTTTTAGTATTCAGTCCCATAAAAAATATTCAAAGAAATAATCTTGGAGTAATTCTCAAACTTTACCATACAGTGGAAGACTGAAGCAAATTTTCTGATTGCTAGTTGAAAAATATAGATACTTACTTACTTACTCCCAACGAAAGTTATTCCCATTAATGGAATGATACTCAAACCTTGGATTCTTTTTCAAATTTCTGTCAGTCACTCAAGTAGTGTAAAAAAGCTACTATCAAATAAATGTGATATTAATTATTCCTACAATTTGTAACGATTTAGAATGTTACATACTATAATCATCGATTAAGGGTGCTTAGTTAGTCATAAAATATGCGATAGTGGTTTATAGGAATTTTAAATATTTATATCATGTTTCCACTCATTAAGATAAATTGTGAATTAATCTCGACAGTTACAGTTTCAGTTCGAGAAGAACAATAGGCTGGATGCTTTGTGTTATTTCTCGTAATGGGTTTTTTCAGCTTGTCCGATTTTCTTTTGAACACGTTGATAAATGGAGCTTCAACCACATATTGAAGTTTTAATCGGAAAGTCGATAGTCAGCTGACATATAATTATTTCAGAGCTTATGAAATTTTTTGAGAGTTCTCTTAAATCCTCTGTTCTGTAAGGCAAGAAAAATAGACGTTAGGCGCAAAATGATTACCAAATAATTTAAAAGATTATGAATAGATCAGCAGTTCCTTTTGTATAATAAGGGAATAGGTCTAGTCTAACCTGTCTGTCGTCATACGGTAGGTCTCAGATTGTTATAATCAATTCAGCTACAGTTGTTTGGACCTTAATAAAAAATACTCATTGACTTTCGAACAGAGGGCAAATGTTTGCATGGAGCACTTAAATCTTAGCCAACTGAACATTATTCACAAAGTAAAGAATGTCTTAACATCTATGTAGTCGAAGGTTCTACCTAGTGATCGAAGAGTTCTGTACTTTCAGCAGCTATTGTACATTATTATGCAATGGTTTTCGGTGGAA